GAATGGGGGAGGCACGGGCTCCATGTGCCCCTCCCTTAAATACGCCCCTGGCTATAATTTTAGATCAGTGGATAGTAATAAGTAACTTTTTTTATAGATAACCAATTCCTAATAGAAATAAGTATATTTGTGATTATGATTTTACCAATWATYGTGTGGATAAAAAATGTGTTTTATAAATATCAAATAYAGGTTAAAGTTAATATATATCATTATAATAATAGTTTTATTTGTTTAATTGTACTAGTTGGTCAGTGGCAACCATTTAACGTATATATGTATATATATAAAATACTAATTTCTACTATTACTATTATAATAATAGATGATTTTGGAACATCCTTTCTTAGTGAACTTATTCTATGTAGTGTCAGTGGTGGCACGAAAGTACTATCAAAATATCAAATTCTTAGGCCCTATTTAGCCTTTAACCTAATAAACCTAGTTTAGGTTTTACATTGATTAGTAATTTAGTTAGTCAGTTGGAACGTGTTTTATTATATATTAAATATTATAACTGTTCCACTTGTTGATTGTGCAAATATATATATTTTTTTTATAAACAAAAATATAAAAATGTATAATATGCCATATTCCYACGGRGAATTGAGTGCTCTGAACCGTTGCATACCCGATGGTTTTTGTATGTAAAATATGTAGTCGAAAACTATGTTTATTGTTATATATCTATYTCAATTTAAAAAGTAATTTCCCAAAAACTCTTGGTATAGATAACTTAATCATATTGTAAATACAAATCTAATTCCAAAAAAATTTACATACATTAACTACTTTCTGAATTCTGGTTATAGATATTTTAATTTGAAAATTAATTCCAATAAGATAACAGTATGGAAAACATACAAAAATAATATGTTCATATTATACTAACATAATAATGACAAAAAAAATTATAATYTATCATTATAATCAAAATTATATTATTTTTGAAAGTAGTATGAAAATAAGTAATAGGCCAGAATGTTTTATGATAAAACCCACAATTCATACGAAAATGATCTCATGGACTCATGAGTTAGCAATCTATTTTATTTTATTTAAAAAAAMATTAAAAATATTTAAATCCTAATCATAAGCTAAGATGCTATGAACATGAACTATCTTAGTTCATGATTCTAATCGACATTTTTACAACTAAAAACTATACTTATGATAATTCTAGTAATTCTACAGGGTATGCCTTGGACCATGCCATACTTAGCATCTCCTTTGCGTACGCCTTTGCTGTRAAATATTTTAATCGTATTTTTGTTTACCACTTGTCCATCGTCAACGTACAGATCTCTACCTAATTAAATACTATAGTAATTGTTAATTTTTTAGATAGGTATCTATCTAGTGCCTATACAGCTATATTAGACACTGTAGTGACCGGGACACCGGGTATATTTGCCTTAAAATAATTATGACATTATGTATAAGCAACGGACTACCATTAYCAACCGTAGTTGGTAAAGACTGCATATACCCTAATTAGATATATCAGCTAATTGGTAAACAACTTCATATTCTTCTGTACTCTGCGCGACTGTACCATAATTGCTATTTGTTAATTAATACTTGGTAGTAACTGTATAGGTAATCATTAACACGTTCACGGTTATTATCAGACAAAATAATGCATAATATTATGATAAATTCACTAGGTGCGCACTGTAAGAATTAATAATATGTACACCTACCTAGCTTATAARTTGTTATAAGTAATCTTTGTTTTCCTGATTATATATACTTTTATTATAAATACTTACTACTATTACTTTAAATTATATATTATTTATGGCGATATTTAATTTAATTCAACTGGATAATACTTAATTGATGTTATTTAATAGAAACCCGCAATTGAAACATTGAGAACTCATTAAAAAATATTTTGAAAGGCCATTGTCACAAATATGATGTAGGTAGTCATATCTTTTATAAAAAAAATAGTTTAAAATAAAGTACTTTGACCTAAATTAGTCTAAATCAATATTTATCCTTCATTTTTTTCGCAAATGCCCGTAGATATAATTAATATAAGTATGGGTAGATAATAAGAATAAAACAACATTCAACATTCAATTGCATTTAAATTAAATAAATCACGGTATTAAGAAAAAAACGAAAAAATTAATATAAAATGTTATCACAGAACGCTTTTATACCTTTTTGTTGAGGCACCTTGCTCCTTACGCTATATTGACWCCTAACTATTTATAATATTTAATAATGTTTCAGGAGTTATTTATAGTTGATGTCAACTATATTTGAAATACAAAATTTTCGAAAAACGTTATCATAAAACATTTTTATATGTTTTATATAATATCTAGCAAAAATATTAGTGATATAATCCTAGGCATCGGTAAACAAAAATGTGACGTCCTAGTTGTGGCACTAACGCCAACACTATAGTTTGGTATATTATAATACAATATATATAAAAATCATATCGGCTCTCATTGACGTACAAAGGGGAGGGGCTTATATAAGTTGAAGAGTCCTATATGATTGCCGTCTAATATTTTTTTAGATATTTCGTTTAGTAAATAATTATCAATAATATTGTTGTAGTGGTTGTAATTTATTCAGGTGTATTTATTCATAGTAATAAAATATGGATTTTAATTCTTATGTTGGTAACTGAATAGATATGATGATGACAGATTATTTTTCAAATGTATATATAATTTATCATTTCCATGGAATCAGTGTTTTCAGTGGCATAAACTGATTTCATAAAACTACTATTACTAAAGGAGACTACTATTTGTGCTAAGAATTGTCGTGTGATGACAGTTTTAGTGACTGAATTGAACATCGTATGTGGATATTCCAATGGAAATATAGGTATGGATGACAAGTGACATCCCACAATCAGTTATTGACATAATGATATACTACCTCGTTATACAAATAATTTAGTGTCTAATATTAAGCTACTGTTAAAACTGTTTGACACATATGTAATTACCAATTACTTCACCTACACCAAAGTGAACATTCTCAACATTGAAACATATAAATCATACATAACTACTTTAAATCAACTATAACACAGATTGACAGGGAGAAATCTCTATGAATTAGCTATATAGTCTGTAGTCATCATAAATAGTACAGAATTGACAGAAAAGTTGATGTACCTAATAGAATATAAAATATAGACACAAATATTTTCAAATAACTCCCATAAACGTATGAATTTAATTTTCTGGAAAAAAAGTTAATATTAAAATGAAATTTGTTATATAGTTGAAATGTATGAACAATTTTGACAAAACTTAGAAAGTTCAAGTAAAATTTAAATTCAAAAAAATGTAGTTTGACTTATAAATAATAGATATGACTGTGCGGCGTTGCAGTCGTGCAGTGACGTAAGCGATTAGCAATAATAATTAATAACAATTATTTATGGTATATGTATATGAATATGTATATGTATATGAATAATAGAAACACTCGCGGTTAGTGATATTCGTGGCATGAAGCCTATTGTGTAAAAGATTTCTGACGGCCACTTTAGCAGCGGCGCAACATCGTATGCAATTGGCTGTAAGCACAGATCACGGATTGTAATAGGTACACCTACACAATTGCATCGAATATATTTCACTAACGACTACTCACGCCGCAACATTCGACGCATCGTTTAAAATTGGTGTACGTAGTAAACAMAAAATTCCTTTAATAATACCGTTAACATCACTCCGGCATCAGTCGGGTGCATGAGTGACGTTAATTAATGCTCCCGTAGATTCTTTAGGATAGTATTGTGATAAGAAGTTCCCACCCGTTCCTTTTTGTTTTTTAAACGGGAAAAAAAGGTTTTTTAGAGCTATATGTTTATATATTGGGGCATCGGTTTCGTAACTTGATTAGAAAAACGARTCAATGATGGTGTATAGGACGTTATACCCCCGTCCCCCGAAGCTAAACGAGGTCTGCTGAGCGTAAAATTTGGTATGTTATTCACTCGAAAGACGGAGACTATAATAACGTCTACTTGATTGAAACAAAACTGAAAATAGTTGGTATATTGTTGATTGTGGTGACTCGCGGCTCGTTGAAGTAGAACGCAGTAAGCTGTAAGTATACTTATCATAAATATCACACGTAGGTTATATGTACATGATGGACGTGCTTATTGCTTAAGGTAGGTTAAGGTATTCAACCCCCCCCCCTCCCCATGGCCCATGGATACTAGGCAAATATACATTTAGGTACTTATAAAAATATAATTATAGTTATTGTGTTAAAAGATTATTATTTGGTTTTAGTGCATCTCAGTTCACGGGCAAATTGACGTCAGTCAGTGTACCTAGCTCTGTGAACTAATTCTACTTATGTAGGGGTTTATTTTTAAAATTGGTATGTTTCCTCGGTGCGTAAAATATTCAATTACGACCCCGTTTACATGACACGTGCATTATGTAGTATAAATATTCATATTTTAATAATATTACAACTTCCTTAATTTCTTATAAGACTTTTGYTGGTTAGTTAACATTTTTTTTTTACTTAATGTWWTGAACGTAAAAATTTGTACATTTTATATCAATATAATTTTTATATAATTTTATAAGATTCGTTGAAAATATAATATTAATGATATAAAATCTTACACCTTAGTTTATAATTYGGAGGACCATTAAACGGGTGCATTGCATGACCGTCTGCACCTWTACACTGTAGTTATAATTGTTGCGGCACTGATTGTATGTTATATACTATTGTGTATTTGTAGGTATATTTCAAAGGATTTATATTATCTTTAACACGCGGTAACAGCTGTTTTAATTTTATAGTTCATAAAACTAAAAAGTCGTTATTTATAGAGTATTTTAATAGCACACTACACATTTAGTTAATAGTTGTATAAGTTATTATAGTATTACAATTAGACTTTTGTGTATAATATAATATTTAAAACATTTATTTTACCTTTGGGCCTCTTGGGTATTTTCCCATCAGTTTTCACGGTAACTGTAGGTGGTTCCAGTATATTTTTGTCGTCCGAATCAAGTGTGTCAAACATGTAAAAATAATTCTTATTTCCAGACATCCATGTGAAGTTCACATAACCCACCTGTATATGATTATAGTAAAATATATACATTTGGTTTAATAACAATTTCATAACGTTCATCGCTTACCTCAGATGGAATGACTGGCAAGTACTGTTCAAAATTTTTGTCCAAAATATACGGCGTGACTTTACCTTCCATAATTGCATATATTGGCATTTTCAGACCTGAAAAAAATAGTTCTTGAAGGTTTAATACTACAAATAGGTGTGTAGGTATATTGGTATTTTTTAAACGGYTTCTAGATGTTTAAATCACTTTAACCATTTACTTTGGAAGGCCACTCTTCAATWAACATTGCGATATTGCATTAAAATTTTAAATCAAATATATAAAATCTTACTAAAAATATAACAGTTAATAAAACTATTTGGTTTTATTTCGGCGTCTTTGCCAATAAACATAATTTACCTTTCGAATTTTGATAATTAACATCTATATAATAAATATTTTAATGTGTATTTTAATATTTTAAACTTAATCATTAATAATAAATAAAATATTTTAAATTGAATAAATATTTTAGATTCTAAGTGGAGCAAATATAAGAAGGTATAATGATTATATAATGATGGATTTTTTTTTTATCTTTTGTCACCCTCAATAGAGGGTCAGAAAGTCAGTAACATTTTCAAAATTTATGTTTGGTTTCTAATTATATTTGATCTAGTTGGTACTTTGGGGATTAAAATTTGAAAATTCTAAGCACTTTTCAAAATAATCGAAAAAACAAATTAAAGATAACTGCAATAATTACRTAACACCAATTTTTGAAGAAAAAAAATTAATCCTATAGAATCTTTAGAATAGATAGTACTTAAAGTTTTCATCAAATATTTTTATTATAGCATTTTACACAGGTACTTAAATGATAAATTTTTTAAAAAATATTGACTCTTCCTGAGAAATTTACAGGAATGATTCATTTTTTGTTTTTATTTAAAATTATTTTTGATAAAAAATGTTTCAGTTTGGCCAAAAAACATAAAAATGGAATACAAGGTGTTGAGTTTGAAGACATTGATTTATTATTAATTGTATACCTACGAAAAACGATTCTGATCAAAAATGTACTGGTAGCCTATATTATAATTAGTATATTTTTAATTCTATTATAGTAAATATTCGTAGTTAATTTTACTATTGTTCATAAAACTTTTAACCCAATTCTAGATGATTATTAAATGTAGCTAATAATTTTCGAGGGGAGTAATATTTTAAATTATTCTTCAATTCGTGACTCGTGATAGGTTACGCCTCCCTATTACAATCAACAAATGTTACGTTGTGCATGTACTTAATCTATTTAATAATCGAATATAACTTATACATTAGAATAGATATAAATAACCTTTGTTTTATTCTATTCATATAAATATAAATTGTTGAAAATATTTACGACAGCGCTGTAAGTTGACAATTTACATTTATTTAAATTTGACACATTCATCTTTTAATTTTTTTTCTTTTTGATGAAGTATTAAAGTTACGTTTAAACATACGTGAGTTATGATTATTTAACGGTATGATCAATGATACGAGATATAAKAGTAGATAATATTAGTTATTCTTATTGCTTACTAAAGAAATTTTCTAATTTAAGCTAGTATAATAAACTAAATATTAGTAAGTATATGACTGAAATATGTTATTTGAATGTGTAGTTATAGTTACTTAATCATGGTTGATGGGGTGTATGGGTGCCCTGGTGCGCAGTAAAAACGTGTGTAATTTCTTAATMTAAATAAGAATTGTATAAATTATCTTGAAAAAATAATATTATACTGTTGTTTTTGCTTTTATAATGTTATTATAATTTATTAAGTATTATTAATATAAAAATATATTGTTATAATTTGATCAAGATTTATTAAC